GGCTGAAGGCAGACTGAGGCTGAGGCTGAAGCAGGCTGAGGCTGAGGCTGAGGCAGGCTGAGGCTGAGGCTGAGGCAGGCTGATGCTGAGGCAGGCTGAGGCTGAGGCTGAGGCTGATGCAGGCTGAGGCTGAGGCAGGCTGAGGCTGAGGCCGAGGCTGAAGGCAGACTGAGGCTGAGGCTGAAGCAGGCTGAGGCTGAGGCTGAGGCAGGCTGAGGCTGAGGCTGAGGCAGGCTGATGCTGAGGCAGGCTGAGGCTGAGGCTGAGGCTGATGCAGGCTGAGGCTGAGGCAGGCTGAGGCTGAGGCCGAGGCTGAAGGCAGACTGAGGCTGAGGCTGAAGCAGGCTGAGGCTGAGGCTGAGGCAGGCTGATGCTGAGGCAGGCTGAGGCTGAGGCTGAGGCTGATGCAGGCTGAGGCTGAGGCAGGCTGAGGCTGAGGCCGAGGCTGAAGGCAGACTGAGGCTGAGGCTGAAGCAGCTGAGGCTGAGGCTGAGGCAGGCTGAGGCTGAGGCTGAGGCAGGCTGATGCTGAGGCAGGCTGAGGCTGAGGCTGAGGCTGATGCAGGCTGAGGCTGAGGCAGGCTGAGGCTGAGGCCGAGGCTGAAGGCAGACTGAGGCTGAGGCTGAAGCAGGCTGAGGCTGAGGCTGAGGCAGGCTGAGGCTGAGGCTGAGGCAGGCTGATGCTGAGGCAGGCTGAGGCTGAGGCTGAGGCTGATGCAGGCTGAGGCTGAGGCAGGCTGAGGCTGAGGCCGAGGCTGAAGGCAGACTGAGGCTGAGGCTGAAGCAGGCTGAGGCTGAGGCTGAGGCAGGCTGAGGCTGAGGCTGAGGCAGGCTGATGCTGAGGCAGGCTGAGGCTGAGGCTGAGGCTGATGCAGGCTGAGGCTGAGGCAGGCTGAGGCTGAGGCCGAGGCTGAAGGCAGACTGAGGCTGAGGCTGAAGCAGGCTGAGGCTGAGGCTGAGGCAGGCTGAGGCTGAGGCTGAGGCAGGCTGATGCTGAGGCAGGCTGAGGCTGAGGCTGAGGCTGATGCAGGCTGAGGCTGAGGCAGGCTGAGGCTGAGGCCGAGGCTGAGGCAGACTGAGGCTGAGGCTGAAGCAGGCAGAGGCTGAGGCTGCAGGCTGAGGCTGAGGCTGAGGCTGAGGCAGGCTGATGCTGAGGCAGGCTGAGGCTGAGGCTGAGGCTGATGCAGGCTGAGGCTGAGGCAGGCTGAGGCTGAGGCCGAGGCCGACGGCAGACTGAGGCTGAGGCTGAAGCAGGCTGAGGCTGAGGCAGAGGCAGGCTGAGGCTGAGGCTGAGGCAGGCTGATGCTGAGGCAGGCTGAGGCTGAGGCTGAGGCTGATGCAGGTGAGGCTGAGGCAGGCTAAGGCTGAGGCCGAGGCTGAAGGCAGACTGATGCTGAGGCTGAAGCAGGCTGAGTCTGAGGCTGGGGCAGGCTGAGGCTGAGGCAGGCTGAGGATGAGGCTGAGGCAGGCTGAGGCTGAGGCTGTGACTGCGACTGCCGTTGCCACTGCGACTGTCATCGCGAATGAGACTACGAGACTACGACTGCGAGAACAGCAGAATTCTACAAGTGGATTCTCATCTGAATCTTAAGGGGAATGCTTCCAGAAATGCTCCTACACATCGCTGTTAGGTTGCTTTGCCCGGATAATTTACCTGACAGCGAAGACTGATAGGTTTCTAGTGGGGTCAAAAGAGAGCATCCTGATTCCCCAGGGGGGTCTGGGCAGGATCCGGGGGATGCAGGGGAAAACCGGGGACCCCTTTTTCAACCAACAGTAACGCACTTCGTGTTCTTCGAGTTCCCAGAACTCCATTCCTGGGCATGATTTTGAATGCCTGGAGCCAACTCTAGGCCACTTCGTGGTCTTCGAGTTCCCAGAACTCCATTCCTGGACATGATTTTGAATGCCCGGAGCCAACTGTAGGCCACTTCGTGTTTTTCGAGTTCCCAGAACTCCATTCCTGGGCATGATTTTGAATGCCCGGAGCCAACTCTAGGCCACTTCGTGGTCTTCGAGTTCCCAGAACTCCATTCCTGGGTATGAGTTTGAATACCCAGAGCCAACTGTAGGCCACTTCGTGTTCTTCGAGTTCCCAGAACTCCATTCCCGGGCCACATTTTTAAAGCTGAGGCAGGCTGATGCTGAGGCTGAGGCAGGCTGAGGCTGAGGCAGGCTGAGGCTGAGGCCGAGGCTGAAGGCAGACTGAGGCTGAGGCTGAAGCAGGCTGAGGCTGAGGCTGAGGCAGGCTGAGGCTGAGGCTGAGGCAGGCTGATGCTGAGGCAGGCTGAGGCTGAGGCTGAGGCTGATGCAGGCTGAGGCTGAGGCAGGCTGAGGCTGAGGCCGAGGCTGAAGGCAGACTGAGGCTGAGGCTGAAGCAGGCTGAGGCTGAGGCTGAGGCAGGCTGAGGCTGAGGCTGAGGCAGGCTGATGCTGAGGCAGGCTGAGGCTGAGGCTGAGGCTGATGCAGGCTGAGGCTGAGGCAGGCTGAGGCTGAGGCCGAGGCTGAAGGCAGACTGAGGCTGAGGCTGAAGCAGGCTGAGGCTGAGGCAGAGGCAGGCTGAGGCTGAGGCAGGCTGATGCTGAGGCAGGCTGAGGCTGAGGCTGAGGCTGATGCAGGCTGAGGCTGAGGCAGGCTGAGGCTGAGGCCGAGGCTGAAGGCAGACTGAGGCTGAGGCTGAAGCAGGCTGAGGCTGAGGCTGAGGCAGGCTGAGGCTGAGGCTGAGGCAGGCTGATGCTGAGGCAGGCTGAGGCTGAGGCTGAGGCTGATGCAGGCTGAGGCTGAGGCAGGCTGAGGCTGAGGCCGAGGCCGAGGCAGACTGAGGCTGAGGCTGAAGCAGGCTGAGGCTGAGGCAGGCTGAGGCTGAGGCTGAGGCAGGCTGATGCTGAGGCAGGCTGAGGCTGAGGCTGAGGCTGATGCAGGCTGAGGCTGAGGCAGGCTGAGGCTGAGGCCGAGGCTGAAGGCAGACTGAGGCTGAGGCTGAAGCAGGCTGAGGCTGAGGCTGAGGCAGGCTGAGGCTGAGGCTGAGGCAGGCTGATGCTGAGGCAGGCTGAGGCTGAGGCTGAGGCTGATGCAGGCTGAGGCTGAGGCAGGCTGAGGCTGAGGCCGAGGCTGAAGGCAGACTGAGGCTGAGGCTGAAGCAGGCTGAGGCTGAGGCTGAGGCAGGCTGAGGCTGAGGCTGAGGCAGGCTGATGCTGAGGCAGGCTGAGGCTGAGGCTGAGGCTGATGCAGGCTGAGGCTGAGGCAGGCTGAGGCTGAGGCCGAGGCTGAATGCAGACTGAGGCTGAGGCTGAAGCAGGCTGAGGCTGAGGCTGAGGCTGAGGCAGGCTGATGCTGAGGCAGGCGCTGAGGCTGAGGCAGGCTGAGGCTGAGGCTGTGACTGCGACTGCCGTTGCCACTGCGACTGTCATCGCGAATGAGACTACGACTGCGATAACAGCAGAATTCTACAAGTGGATTCTCATCTGAATCTTAAGGGGAATGCTTCCAGAAATGCTCCTATACATCGCTGTTAGGTTGCTTTGCCGGGATAATTGGCTGGGGAGGTCCCTAGGAGAGAAGAAAACGAGAAGAGAGAGAGAGAGAGGAGAGATGGGGGATGGGAAGGGGTGGGGTGGTGGTGGGGAAATGGGAGCGAGAGCAAGGCATGGCACCCGGGACGGCGAGGGAGTGGGGCAGACGGGGCATCTGTTGGCTCCAGGATCAAGCGCTGTGCGGACGGGCCAGGGTGATGCTGTCAACCGCCTTCTTTCAAACGTGGGGACGAGAAGGAGCGGGAGGGAAAAGGAGGTCCCCCGACTTCCGTCGTGCCTTCTTTCACCACGTGCCCCTCAGACATCTCGACCCCCTTCCCCAGGGCCTGGCTCTGATCTCAAGCAGCATCTCGAGGCCCCAGGGGGGGCCCGAGACCAGCTCCAAGAGGTTCGAGACCGCCGAGGAGCCGGCCGTCTTGATTCCTCCGAGCAGGGTGCCTTGGCCGTGGGAGCTGCAGGGCTCCAGAGGTCCCCGGAGGTCCCCGGGAGGTCGCCGGAGCCAGAGGCCTCCAGGGGCACGAAGAGAAGGCGCCCTCGAGGCTCCCCGAGCCTGCCCCCCGATCCCGGCGGCCTCGGCCCTCGAAGTCTTCCTCCTCCTCCTCCTCCTCCTCCTCCATCTCCTCCTCCTCCTCCTCCTCCTCCTCCTCCATCTCCTCCTCCTCCTCCTCCTCCTCCTCCTCCTCCTCCATCTCCTCCTCCAACCCCCACACTCAGACATCCGACGATGCGCTCTTGTCCAGTGCGCGGCCCCAGGGGCGCCGGGATCTGGCTCCTTTCTCGAGCCAGATTCGAGCAGCCAGTTTCGCACTTCCGCCGTTCTGCTGCCTCGACTCGCCCTTATTCGGCTAGAGAGCTCGAGACTCGGAGCAGCCACCAGGTTCATGCTCTTCTCGGTCGGAATGGGTGCAGAGTTGCTGCTGGCACGGGTCTGTCTACTCGATGGACCAGGGGATCGTTTCTCGTCCGGTTCCAGTTTTGATGGCCCCAGGGTCCGGCCGCGGGCCCCAACGGCCTGGGACCCTTGGGCGACGGAAGAGACCAGCGTCTGTGGCACGGGCACTCGCGCGTGAGCTTCCCGCGTAAACTCGCGCGTGCGTCTCCAACGCAGCGTGCCGCGCTGGCGGCTGGCGTAAGCCGCGGCGTAAGGTCGCTCTGTCATCGCGCGCAAGGCTCGATTCTCTTCGTCGCCCACATCGCCAGATGTCTGGGCTCGCAGCTTTTTTGGGGGGGGTGCTCACATCGCCAGAGACATGCGATCCTTTGATTCTTTCAGTGCGGGGTCCCCAGAAGTCCCGACTTCTTCCATGGATCGATTTTTCGTTCCGGGCCGTGTTTGACGGTCCCGGGGCACGGCGAGGGCTCCAGGAGGCCAAAAACGGCGACAAACCGCCAGTCGTTTTTTTGTCCGCGACGCGCTCTGGGGCCAGAGATCCAGGACCGCAGCTTTTTTTCGGGGGCTCGGGCCACGATGGCCCGGGAGGACCCGCCAGGCCGCGCCCCAGGCGAGCTGAGCGGCCGCGCCGGGCGATGCGCGTCGCTTCCCGTGTGCGCCCTGGGCGCGCTGGGCCTCGCCGTGGTGGCCTGCTCGCTGCCGTGGGCGGACTTGCCCGCGGCGCCGGGGCCGCTCGGCCGCACCGTGCTGCGAGAGCCGCCGCAGGCCGCCGCCGCGGCACCCGCTGCCGCGCCGCCCTCGGAGGCCGGCGGCGCAGCCAGAGGGCTGCGCTCCGCGATCGAAGGCCTTCTGCGGCAGCAGGAGGCGCTGCGGGGGGAGCGGCGCTGCGCCGAGGCGGACCTGCTCGAGGGGAACATCTCCGCTCTGGTGGAGGAGCTGGTCCGGCGGGGGGGCGAGCGCGTGGGGCAGGTCTGCGGTGCCGGCCTGCTCTATTCGCCCGAGGGCGGCAGCGTGCCGCTGCAGCACGTCGCAGGGCAGCACGCGGGGCAGCTCCCCAACGACTGCCGGCGGGCGTGTGCTGAGGCTGACGGGTGTGCGTGTTTCACGTGGACGGCGTTGCGCCTCGATGGGGCGGCTGGTCCTGTCTGCAATCTCTATGCATCGTGCAAGAATGCATCGGCTTCGCAAGGAGCGATGACCATCTCGGGCCACAAGAGCTGCACCCCGCCGTCCGCAGAGGCGTTACTTTGCAGGGGGCTCCACGGGCCGACGGCACGTTCTCGTAGACCAAGGAACTACACAGACGAAGAGGTGCATGAGGCGGCGCATGCCGCGCTGCGAGCAGTTCCGAGCGCCTTCAGGGGCCCGTCATTCAAAGTCGCCTCTGGCGCACTCTTGCTGTACATCCTCACCAGCACTGGAGAAGGCATGCTCGAGAAGGCGGGCATCATGCTCGCCGCCATCCGGAAGCGCGTGGGCTCAGCGGCCGTCGAGCACGCCTTCGTGTGCGAGCGCGAGTGTGCCTCCAGTGCTGACAGCAGCTTGGGCAGCTTCGTGGAGCTGCCAGACGTGCTGTGGAACCCGCCGACCTGCAAGAGGATCCACAATGACAGCGGCCAGCCGTGCTCCCGGTATGCCATTTCCTCGATCAAGTTCGTTTATGGCATCATCCACGAGGCTCTCCGGCTGGACGCCGCCGGCCGTGCGCAGCCCCGATGGTGGCTGATCAAGGACGACGACACGTTTGTGCACGTGCCCAACTTCCTGCTGGCCGTGGCGGAGGGCTCGCGGAACGACCGCGAGTGGGGCACCCCGGGCACGCCGATTTGGGAGCAGCTGATCGCCGCGGCCTCCCTGATGCCCGGCTGTGGCGGCACCCCCTGCGGTGGAGGCGGGTTCGTGCTCAGCGGGGCCCTCGGGCTAGAGCTGGCGAAGAGATGGGGGGCGAGGTGGCTGGAGAAGCAGCTGATGGCCATGGAGCGCCCTCAGTATTGTCCAGTTCCGCTGCCGCGGGCGTCCGCCAGCGCGCGCGAGGAAGCTGCGCAGCATCGCTGCAGCGAGGTCTGGCTGTAGCGTCGCATGGTCGTTGCATTGCCTCCTGGAGGCCTCTGATGAGACGGGACGGTGGGGGAAGGACGGAGGGAGGAGGGTGGAGGATGAGAGGAGAGGGAGGAGGGGCGAGGGAGGAGAGAGAAAGGTGAAGGGAGGATGGGGAAAGGATGGAGAAAGGCGGTAAGAGGGCGGAGCGTGGATAGGGGGAAATGGAGGAGTAAGAAGTGGTTGAGGCGGAGGAGGACGAGGTCGATGGGGGAGGGAAGACGGTCAGAGTAAACTCAATATACCATCCCCTCCCATGTCCCCTTCGCAAATTCCCACGCGTTGTTTTTCGCCGTGCGAAGGGCCCCTAGAAAACACGAGCGCCGCATAGGTTCGCAACGCCGCATAGGTTCGCAATCCAGGCGGGAGGTTCGTCTCCAAAGGGGAAGAGGTCCCCATCACTCGAGTTATGATGAGTGCGACAAGGTGGGGCTTCTAAGGTTCACGGACGTGTCCAGCGGCAGTCCCGGCTTGAAGTGGAGCCGCCTTCCATCTTTGTGTATCGGGCACGCGTAAGAGTGACCCTTCGCCGGCGTGACCCTTGGTGCGGGCCCACGGGGGCCCTCCGATCGCTGAATGTGGTGCTACAGCAGCGACTCGCGCGCTTGGGTGGTTCGGCCTCGCCCCGCGCCCCCGTAACGCCGCACACCAAAGGCCACTCTTTCCCAAGGGCCACTCCTGTGTTTGGCGTTTAGCCGGCCGTAGCTGCTGGACAAGTTGAGACTTCTGGCGTTTAAATCTGGCGAAGTGTCAAGCGAGAGCCTTCCATCCGTGTACTGTGTTGTACTTTTCCAGAGTTCTGGTAGCTCATGTTGGGAACGTTTGAGGCGAGAGCTCCATGTCACATAGGAACATCTGGGTACCTGTCCCCGATATTCAGACGACTGCGCACGGCGCCAGGGCTAGAACCTCACTTTGAAAACGACCCTCTCAACATTCGTGCTATTCTTTGTCATTTTCAGCTCCAGGATCGTACACGGTGAGAAAATCTCTGGCGAAGCGCCATTCCCTCCATAACGACACGTCTGGTGGTGTGACAGGGTGGAGTGTTTGTCACGAAGAGGGACGGAGGATGAGGAAGAGAAGAATTTGCGCCGTGTGGGGCCCCTCCAGAGGCCCTCTTGGGCTGTCAAGATGCTCTCTATGGGGCCCTCTTTGCGCTGTTTTGCAAACTTCTGGTGCCACTTTGGGGGTTTCTCAAGGTCCTGGTAGTAATTTCGGAGGCCGTCCTGTTTGGAAAAACGTATTAAGCCAAGCACATGTAGAACATTTCAGGTGTGTGTGTGTGCCACTTTTTGCTGTCTGGCCTCTCTTGAGGCTTCTTTGGGACTCTCTTGGGGCGTCCTGGGGCCCCATAAGGGTGCCCCGACTGGTCTTGAAAGAGTCGTCGACTGTGAACGCGACGTCCTTTTAGCCTTGCACGGGGTTATCTTGGACGCTCAAAGGTTTGACACTCCCGGTGTCAGGGGAGGGGCACACATCTCCCGCGCTCTAGTCTTCGGTGATCTTCTCGAGGGCAAGAAAGGGCGCGAACGAAAGTGTGCTCAGCGCGGGTGCCTCTTGGCCTGTCCGATTTCTTGATTCGGAGGGACGCGTGCAGCGCCAGGGGCTGCAAGCGCGGCGGCGGAGTTCTACGACAGGCACATTCAGAAGGTCGTGTCCTGGGCAGAGGGCGCGAAGTTCAAGGACATGCGGGAGCTCGAGCCAGGGGCGCCGGTGAACCAGGTGTGCAAGACCGGGCGCAAGGGCTACCCGGAGTGGGCGGGGCCTTGTTGGAACCTGTCTTACTGCAAGTGCGCCAGGCCTCGAGGGAAGAGACACGGGGCCATGACCTGGATGTCGCGGAATCTTTTCGATGCCGATTTTGGTCATGGTCCATGTCGGCCGTCGCCGATTTGCGAGGATGGTCCAAGAGTTGACGCTGGCCAAGATCGACGGTGACCAAGATCGGCACGACGTTTCTGCGTTCAGTCTAAGTCATGTTCACCGTTTTCTTCCCCTCCAAGATCGGAGCACCCAGCCACGTGGCACCTGGTGAAAATGTTGGTCCCACAGATGCAGAAGGTCCTGGGGAAGCTGGACGCTGCAGAGGGTCTGGGGGGCGCCGCGCAGACGAAAAAATCCTAAGCTGGCGTCGCGTCTTCACTTGGGGGGAGAAGAGGAGGTATGGAGGCAGCAGGTGAGGGGAGGAGGTATGGGGGCAGGGAGGGAAGGATGGAAATGTTCAGCATTAGTACCACTATGAACCTTCTCTGATGTGTACTCATAGGCATGTACAACGCGGACCAGTTGTGGCTACCAAGGTGAGGGGAAAGACAGCGCAGTCTTCTCCAGAGGCCTCAGGACCTCGGTTCATGCTAACCTGCCATCGTTGTTGTTCTTCTCCTTGTGCAGTTTTCAGCTCGTCGTGTTGGACGTTATTTTCTCATGTCGCCACAGCAAAAAACAAAGCAACTGCGCAAACTCCATACGTTTTCCAGCTGCCGTTTCCCATCGTCGGAGCCCGCCGCGGACAGGCCGTGGGCCTCTGCGTCTGTTTCTCACCAGTCTCAGACTGGTGTCAGAAGGCCTTGGTGGGGGGGTGGGGCGGGGGGGGGGGCGGGGGCGGGGGTAAACACCAGTTTCAGCTCTGCGCGCTGCAACCAGTTTCGGCCCCCGCCCCATCTACACAACTTAAGGGTGCTAAGATAAGGGGAACGTTCACAAGACGACATCGGCAATTACGAACACGTTTTTTCATAGTTTTTTTGGTTGGTTGGTGTTGGTGTTGGTGTTGGTGTTGGTGTTGGTGTTGGTGTTGGTTCTGTTGTTGTTGTTGTTGTTGTTGTTGTTGTTGTTGCTGTTGTTGTTTTTGTTGTTGTTGATGCTGTTCGCGGTTTCAGCCTTTCACAGGAGTCCTACACGAAGCGCGCATAAAAAAAGCGCCTTGGGCGTTTTAAACATGATCCAGTCAGGGGCAACGATAGGGGGGGATACGCAAGGGGGGATATGCATGGGGGGATGCGTCGACCCCACTTGCTCATTCATCGCCGATCGATGCCTCATGGCCCCACCCCACCCAGGAACGTGCGGATTTGCTATGGGGGCCTATCGCCGATCTATCGGCGATGTATCGCCGATTCCAGCTCGATGTTTCCTTCCCCGATGCTAGTCCCCCCTATCGTTGCCCCTCGGTGTCACGTTTTTTCATAACGTCGACCCCAGAGGTCTCGGCCCATTCCCCGGGTCCGGCTTTTCATTCTGAGTCGTTTTTTGACGGTCCCGAGTCCCGGTGAGGGCCCCTAGATGCCGAAACTAGCGAAACACCTCCCGTCTTGATTTTTGCATGACTCGGGAGGGTCTGGGCCTGCAGTTGTCCTCATCCAAGCCCAGGAGGCCCCGAGCAATCCTCCACACCTCGCTCTTCTTCACTGCGGGAGGCGCTCCTCTTGAAAAACAAGACCCGCTCCTCGGCCGTGCCTCGTCCGCGGGGAGGCATCGTGATGAAGCGGGCAAACGTTTGATGATTCCACCTGTAAGAGGTGCGGGGAGGCCTTCGGAGGTCTGGGTGCGTTGGCTAGTCGGCAGTTCCTGGGAGGTTGAAACTCAGCATCGGCGTTCATATTTCTTTGGCCCTCGTCCCGTCTAAGCCAGCTTCGTCCAGCCTGATCTGGCTTAGTCTGGCCTGATCCTGGCCTGAATGGTCTAAGCCGGCTCGATGGCCAATCGGGCTCAGTGTAGGTAGCCCTTTAATCGTTTCCACGAAGACTTCCCAGGAGTCGCTTCCTAATGTTGGAGTGCTCTTGTGTGGTCCTTCATGGCAGCCTCTGAGGGCACCACGATTCCTTGCGGTTCTAAGGATTTCGTCCGGATTTTGTAGGCTTCCGTCGGATTTGGTCGACATTTGGACAACATGTAGACGACACCTGGACGACGTCTGGGCGCAAGTGTGAAGAGGGGTGGTCGAAATCTGGACGAACTCTGGTCGAAATCAGGTTTACGGTAAGGCCGCGGAGGTCCACAGAGAGGCAAGCTCAGTGAACGGGCGGGCCCAGCGAGAGCCTGTCGTCTCGTCATGCTGCGTGGCTCAGCCCCCCGCCCGTCATTCCTCGCAGAGCAGAGCGGAACTTTCTCATGGTGCCGTTCGGTTCTTCATCAGAGTCGATGCTGGCGCATATTCCGATACGATTGGGCTCGCGCGATGATCTCTCTGTCTGTAACAATAGTTGTCTTATCTCTTCTGATTTGCGCGCCCAGCTGGCATTGAGCGTCGCGACTCTGCTGAGGCGATCACTGTGCAGTGGCTGGAAGCTGCTGGTCTGGAGTGCCATTATATTTTTACTTCGACTCGCGAGAGCCAGGGGTGTTGACTTGTGTTGGTTCCAGACGCCGTTTCGGGGTAAGTCAGCAGGGGAGCAGGAATCTGGCACTGATAAAGAAAGCAGTGAACCATGCAGATCGACATTGGTCGGTAGAACTGTTGCTGTGGACTCCTGAAGGCGCCTGTTTGCCCGACCGCCCTTGCAAGTGTCTGATTTCACCATGTTCGAAATATCGCGAGTTCTCAACGACCGCCCTCCAGGGGTTCCAGTGCGGGAGGCCCACGCATCGCTGCCTCCTGCATCCCGCATTTGTACCGCGCTTGGCAGCGGTGTATCTGACGCCGCCTTGGACCGCTGTGGGCTTCAATGCGACGCCGCGCCTCGTTCTCACCCGCCTGGTCAGGCAATTTTGGCAACCGCGCTGCCCACTCCCTTTCCTCCTCTTGCTCCTCTCTCTGTCCTCTTCCAATCTTTCCCGTCTGGCGCCAGTGGGCCGCGAACCCGTGGGCCGAACTTCGGCCACGTGGCCAGGACGGCCCGCGACACCACTTGCGAGCCACGTTTCGTGACATTCACTTGCCCCGCCTCTTCCTCCTTCCTCCGCTTCCTCTCTTCCGCGCCAACTTCTTCGTTTCACCCAGGAGGAAGTGGCGAGGACGGTCACGCGGCAGGAGAGTTTGCCGACTCCAGTCGCATCTCGGACGTTACCATCGGTGTGCTGACGCGTTCTAGAGAACACCCATTCGTTTGTGTGGATGGACTTCACCGCCGCGCTGTTGGAACCATCGGCCTCGGGGAATTCGCGTCATAAGAAGAAAGATGCGTGCCCAGCGAGAGCTCTGTTCTGAAAAAGGAGCCGCCCCCTCCATCGTTGTAGCTATTGCACTGTTCAATCTGTTGACCAAGAGAGCTAACGCAGTCTCACGGGACGCCCCGCTTTGAAACTTGGCCGCCTTCTTTACATTTCTTGACACATTCGACACTCTTGCCTCGCAGACGAAGGAGAGTCCCGAGCCATATGCCAACTTTGGAAAAGTTTCGCCTTCGATCTGTGTACTCTGTCGGGTAGACAGAGTACTCGTAGTCGCGCGAGTCTTGTGCGGAGGCCTTGTGTGGGGAGGACATTGTGCGTCTTGTGTGGGGCTCTTGTGAATACCGTTGGGATTGGATCCGTGCCCGCGCTTGCTCATGAGGGAGAATGAGGAGGCTCAGAATGAGCACAATCGATACGGACCCCTTGCACAATATCTCTTGTGCGCCTTCTGCGCCAATTCTCTTCGCTCTGGCATTCACTGTAGTAGAAGTAGTAGGTGTGGAAGGCTATCGAAGAAACCTGCTCGGCCGCGTGCAGAGGGGGGGGCATGGTGGGAGGGGGAAGGCTTCTTAGAGGCACCTCTGCTTCCAAGAAGCCCCCCCCCCTCTCCCCCTGCCCCCTTGTGCGCGCCGCCAGCCTGCGGCGCATCACCGCCGCCCACTCCCTGGCGTCATCCTGCCTTCGCCTCGCCCCCTGCCCTCCGGGGGGGGGGCCGGCCGCCTGCCCGCCGAGGCAGGAGGACATCCGCCGGGAGGTCGAGTCCTTCTGGAGCCACCCGGACGCGCTGGCGGAGCTGAAGGCCCAACTTGTCCCGGCGTTCGCCGTCCACCGGAGGAGGACAAGTCGGGGGCCCAAAAATATATACCACCACCGCCTCCCTCCCCCCATCCTCTCGCTGGAAAGAGGGGAGAGGAGGAGTCGACGTGGTGGTGGATTATATTCTTTGGGCACCCCTATCAAGGTGCCCATACCGCTACCCTCGCACCGTTTTCGCCTCTCTGGGCTTCCTCGCACGCCCTCGTCGCCACCGTGGATTCCCTCGAAATTCTGGTCAGAACGCACCGAGGTCCGGGGAGTAGCGGTATCCGTGCCTTTTGGTCTCCCCATTCTACGGTCGGAGCGAGGCGTAAGAGCATGCTCGGTTTGGGGAGGTTCGGTAGCAAGTCACGGTATCTTTGAACGAAGCCATCGTAGTTCCGTCTCTAGGGTGCATTAGCGTCGATTCGCGTCTGGTAATCGACGAGATAGCGCCGTTTCAGCGTCGATTGGCGTCGATCAGCGTCGACTTAGCGTCGGCTCGCGTCGATTAGCGTCGGTTCGCAAGAGCCAACAAAATGGCACGGGAGGCTCCCATGAGTTGCCACCGAAGGGGAGGGTACCTAATGTTATTCGCTTTGTTTGCGCGTTCATGTGCAACCTGGGGACGGGTACCCTCTAATATTTTTTGTTTGACAGCTTTGTTTCGTTCATTCAGTTAAAGCTTGAGTTCCCAGCCATGCCTTTCCGTGTTCACCATTGTTTTTCTTTATTTGCCAGGCAGTTGAAATCGGGTGACTCCTAGGAGGAGACCCTTAGTAACCTTATGTTTGTGAGTCGTTTTGCCGGCGGAGGGTCTCATGTTTTTGTTGGTATTTTCTTCTATCCCTGTTCCGACTGTATATGCATTTCCAGGTTTCGGGGAGCTCCGTCTTCAGGCCTCAGCGGATGATTTTCTGCTTCGCTTGGGGCGTGCTTCTTTCAGTCTCGGCTCCCTGTCGCCAGATCCACGAGAGATCCATCTGGGATGGAAGACCCGACCATAGGCAGGCGTCCATCTCAGGGGCCCATGGATTGAGAAATCATGGCGTCGTCGGGACACGGCTCGGTCCGAGAGAAGACCGGATACCGATTCGGAGTGGCCTGTGGGCGGAAGGGAAGAAGAGTCGGGTTTTTCATCCGAGTGGCGTGTGCGGACAAGTTGGAAGGGGGTTGGGTCCCACACCACGCAGTTCGACCGCCTGATCGCCGGCAATGGTACTTGGGTGGACGTAAGGCTTTGGCGTGGCCGGGCCTTCAACAGGCATCTGTGCGAGAAGCACTTCCGCACCATTTGTGGCATTGTCGAGGCTTCGCCAGAGGTCTGGTCGAATCCATGGAGCCACGTCCTCCTCAGCTCGAAGAACACAAGCTACCTAAGCATAAACTTTCGGAGGTCCAGCGGTTTTCTTGGGTCGTCGCCGGGCACCCCTGGTGGAGCCTCCAGCGCCGCCCCCTGCGCGCTTCGCGCGCCAGGACGGGGGCTCCAGCGCCGACCAAGATGTTCGCGAGGACTTCCCAACGTTTCTGCTTGTGCCGTCTGTTTGTTCTTCTATGAGCGTGCTGATGCCAGACAGCTGGGTGCCCTTCCACCAGGGCTACACCAACGGCCAGCTGACCTACCACTTTCCGGTGGCCGTGCCGGCGAGGAGCGGCGTTGCGGAGCTGGCCGTGGTCGAGCGGGGGGGCGCGCTGAATGGTAGCCAGCTCACCCGAGGTGACGCTGGGCTCCTCTCCCACCCGGAGGAGCGCACGGTCAGGTGAGCCACGAACAAAAACGAGGTTGTCTTCGCCGACGTTGGCACGTAAGCTGCCCGCGTAAGGTCGCGCGTAAGAGACCTCGCTTCCAGCGCAGCCTGCCGTGCTGGCGGACCGCGTAAGCCACCGCGAACGGTCGCTATGCCATCTCGAGTAAGACTCGATTTTGGTCTTCGCCCAGGTGGCGAGAGGGCAAGACGCTGGTCTTCGACGACTCGTTCGCTCACGCTGTCCGTTTCCGCACAGACCCGGGGCGCGCGAGGCCACAGGGGTGGTGAGGTTCCTCGTCCCCTCTCCACCTCCTGGCTCGTGTGCCGCTCTCTCAAGCCCAGAACGGTGTGCTGAAGTGGCAGCGGCAGGCGAGCATAGCAAGTGCACCAATCTCATTTCTTCCCCCGCCTCTTCCCCTTCCGACTGCGGGGGTCTGGGAGGTTTCTGGGGTCCCCACAACAGGCATCCAGAGATTCCTGGAGGCGTAATGCAAGCTCCCAGACGCTCAAACATCTCGACCCCCCTCCTCCTCCCCCTCCTCCTCCTCCTCCTCCTCCTCCTGCATCCTTGCTCTCTATAAACAACTCGCCGTCGCACCACCAGACGTGTTGGTAGGGCGGGCTGAGCATTTCGCCTGAGACTTCCCCACCGCTAGTGATCCTGAAGCTCGATATGTCCAGCAGTTACATCGATTGAGGGCGGCCTGTTTTTAAGATGTGGCCGTTGCTTTAGCGCAGCGCACGTTCATCTCAACATACATCCAACAGTTAGACAGCTTGAGGACGGCACGTCTTCAACATGTGGCCCTCGCCTGCTAGCGTAGCTCACATTGCTCTCCAGTCCGTGGGCCTCAGAGCTTCCGACCCTTCCCTCAGGGGCCGATTCTTCATCCCTGGTTGTTTTGTTGACCGTCTTGGGGCCCGACAATGGCCCAAGACACGCCAGGATCCGAATCGCACGACGTCGGAGGTGTCCTTAGAGAAATCCTGAGCTCTTTGGATGTTTCTGCAGACCCCGAAGATTCTTGGAGCCCTCTCTAGCCTTCAGCAGAGACACAATCATAAACCTCTATCTTCCCTCCTCCCTTTCTCCCTTTCACAGCCGTCCAGCGGTTCGACTTTTTTTGGTTGTGTGGGGCGCTCGAAGCCGGCCCTCCCCTGGAGGCCCAGGGTGGTGAAAAGGCGGCCGCCTCGATCTTTCCCAGCCGCCCCATGTCCGGGCAGCGAGGAGATATGAGGCCCATGGAGGCCCCATGTCCGGGCAGCGAGAAGATATGAGGCCCATGGAGGCCCAGGGTGGTGAAAAGGCGGCCGCCTCGATTTTTCCCAGGCGCCTCATGTCCGGGCAGCGAGAAGATGTGAGGCCCACGGAGGCCCCCAAACGGTGCGGTGACCACACCACGTGAGATCCAGTGGGGGTTCGGGGTGGCCGCACGGCTGGGAGACTCGGCGGAAGGGGCCTAGGACGAGGATGCACCTGCTCCACGGCGCTCCGGGGAACGCTCTGAGAGGGCCGCGGCGCCCGAGGCATCCTCCGGAGCCGCGGGATCTAAGAGGCTCTCGATATAGCGCCATCCGATGTTATGCTCGTCTTGGCTTCGTCTTGACTCGGGTCGTTCTCCGAGGATGTCTCGGGCGACGGGGGCCTCCAGGGTCCCAAAACCGTGTGGTGACGGCGTGCTGTGAGGTCTCTTGGGGTTTCGAGGTCATCGCACGGTCTGTCACCGCACCGATTTGGGGCCCTTGGACGGGGCACGGACGAAAGTGTGGATCGCCCAACCCTTTCTCCTTCCCACCGTCCCTCCCTCCCGCGATCAGAGCGAAGCAACCCTCAGCTCATGCGGGTCTGCTAGTCATCTGGGCGTCACTCGAGCGACGGAAGAAGACGGGATCGACTGCGCCGACATTCGCGCGTGCGCGGCCTGCGCAAGCTGACCGCGTAAGCGCCCACGTTTCCAATGTGGCGTGCCGCGTCTGGCGGTCCTCGAAAGCCGCCGCGTAAGGTCGCCATGCCATCGCGCGCAAGACCCGCTTCTTATCGTCGCTCATGTGGATGTCGCCTCCCTGGCTCCCCCTGGACCTCCGCCCTCCCCACCCTTCGTGTGGCAGCGCGGCACGGCTTCTTCGGCCGCCGCGCCACCTGTCGCGCGGAAGGGCGAGGTCAAGGGCCCTTCCTCCTCCAGCACGGGGGGAGCGGCGCGATTTGAACCGCGGGTGCAGCTGGCACGAGGGTCAAGAACAGCCCTGACCTCGGGAGGGGCACTCTGGTGTTCTTCGCGTCTGGGCTTTCCGCCTTGAGACGTTGTTCGTTTTGGGAATCTCCATGGGGCCTTGAACCCTCGGCGAAGGGGCTCATGCTCTTGACCCACTCTTTTGTGGCCACGTCTCGACCGTAGTGTCGTCCGTCGTTGCCGTCGTCGCCGTCGCCGTCGCCGTCGTCGCCGTCGCCGTCGTCGGCGTCGTCGTCGGCGTCGTCGTCGGCGTCGTCGTCGTCGGCGTCGTCGTCGTCGTGTCGCGCTCGCTTTTTGGGCTTTGGCCCCCGCGTGCTGGCCTCGCCACGTCTTGGCTCCTGAGCCCCACCCCCGCGGGGCGAACCTCACCTGCCTCTCTCCATGGTGCGGGCTGCCCCGGACAGACGTCGATGCCGAGGAGCCGGCCGACTCCAGCCGCACGGCTGGCAAGGCCTCGGGGGCCTCCAACGATGCGCATGCCCGCCCCCCCCACATTTGGGCGGTGATGGAAAAAATAGCGACGGCTGCTTCTTCGTCGTTTTCGGCTTCTGGAGGCCGTTTTCTGGCACGAAAGCCTGCGAACACGACGACGACGACGATGACGATAGGCCATCGTCATCGTCGTCGTCGTCGTCGTCGTCGTCGTCGTCGTCGTCGTCGTCGATGGCGACGACGAGACGACTTCGACGACCGCGACGACGACTGTGACGACGACGACGACGAAGACGACGACGACGACTTCGACGACGACGACGACGACGAGCCCGAGGCCGAGCGCCCCCTGGAGGCCCGGGTACTCCTGCTGATGCGCGGCTGGCACCCCGAGCTGGAGCCCGAGGAGCGTGCGGCCCTCCGCGAGCTCGTCCGCCGCGGCGGCGAGGAGCTTCCCGCCGGCTACGAGGCCTCTGCCAGGAGGGGCCTCATCGGGAGGATGAGGAGGAGGAGGAGGAGGAGGAGGACGAGGAGGAAGACGGTGGTGGTGATGGTGATGATGATGGGGATGGTGGTGGTGATGGTGATGATGATGATGATGTTGATGATGATGAATGTGATGGTGGTGGTGATGATGATGACGACGATGGCGATGATG